CGCAGGTGAGATAAACCTGTTATCTGCTTCTAACTAACTGGCAACAACCCTACTCTGAATGAAGGAAAATGAAAGACTGGTTCTAATGCAAAATGAATTAAAATATGGGACAGTAAATAAACACACAACTTAATAAAATTGCAAATGAAATGGTTGTTTTAATTTGAAATGTGTAATGAAAATGAGCTAGTGAATTGGATGTAAGGATTGAATTAATTTAGAATGTGTAATGAAAATGCACTGGTTAATTGAATGAAAGGAGCATGGACAGGCGGAGATGAGCAGATGTAACTGCAAACAAAAAGAACAAAATAAAAATGCAAATCATGAATGACTGATAACCTGATGGGATGTAGAATGTAAACAAAGCAAGAACCATTAAACTCCATAAAACTAGTAAAAGCTCATCTCCATATTGTGAATTTATTTTTAAAACTAATGAGTACTCGCACGAGGATTGAATTAAAAGGAATCACAAGTGGACAGATAAATAAAGGAACACTGCAAGATGAATTGAGAACATAAGCCTACTAGAATTAACTATAACCATAATCCAATATAATAAATTAACTTCCTTACTAAACCACATCAGTCAGAGATGAACACAACCAAAGTGAAATGCAAGGACAAAACTTAACCAAAATTATAAATGAACAAATTATATAAATTTATATGCCACTCACCAGTGCAACTGAGTGCCCAGGCTGAGATACTGAGTAGGAATCCAAATACTTAAAGAGTGATAATTCAAGTTTGCAAATTATACTTTGGTCATCTACACTGAAAAAGATAAAAATATTGAATTTAATTTAAATTGAGTTGGATTGAGAATTGAAGATATATGATAATTAGTAAAGAGAGACATGAAGGTTGGGCTACACAGTAGCCTAATTTAACCTCCGGTAACATGCCCCCCCACTAGCGCAATCCTTCATGGATTTAACATAGAGAATTTAATTGAACAAAATGATCACAGGAATAGTTACACCAGGTTACAACTTGGAAGTTGAATTGTTACACAATATTCATGGCATCCTAAAAGACTTTGGCAGGAGCACTGATACTAAAATTTTATATGGCTCTGCTACGTATTTACAGTTTATTTACAATATATTTACTAATACACTTGCAATTCCATTAGCCCTGGACAACCACTGTAATGCGCGTTGTTGTAACCAGTTAAAACATATTGACAATATTTTTGAAACGGTAATGAAATGCCCATGACACAATAATAATAAATAACAATTATAACAATGATATACATTCTAATAACATTTTACAAAATAATAATACATGTAGTAGTAAATTAAGACGCGAAGAACAAAAAATAGATCTAAAACATTAAGAATTCAAGAACGCGATCTAAACATATGTACAATATTTATTCTTGAGAGATGTGACGCTTCACTGAAACAACAGTATATGCTCCCCCCCCCCCTGGTGAGGCAAAACATCTCATAATATGAGCTTAGTGACATTATTTACAGGACATCAATATGTAAAAGGTGCTTAATTCACAGACTACTAAAACGCTTCACTCTTTAAAAGACAGTTGCCATAGAAAATTTTTTTATGTATAAATGACTTACATGACTAAAAATGACTTTCATGACTAAACCTACTTAAACAAGGTCACTAGAGTAAAAAAAAATTATTACCAAAATGGCAAGCACTTGATTTAGGTTTAACAACCCCCAACGACTTCATTAAGAACTTTTCCTCCTTCTCCTCACAGAAGCACGCTCCAATATTTTAGCCTGAACATTGGGTAATTCCACAGCAGAGCCTCTTGACCTTGTGTGTATAGCAGCACGTTTGGCAGGGGTATTTCGTATGCTCGGTTGTTTTCTTTTAGAAAGCAGCTTAGGAAGGTCTGGAACTGGCCCTGGCTCAGTACAGAAGCCCTCAAATGCATTTTCGTCATCATCCAACCANACTTAACCAAAATTATAAATGAACAAATTATATAAATTTATATGCCACTCACCAGTGCAACTGAGTGCCCAGGCTGAGATACTGAGTAGGAATCCAAATACTTAAAGAGTGATAATTCAAGTTTGCAAATTATACTTTGGTCATCTACACTGAAAAAGATAAAAATATTGAATTTAATTTAAATTGAGTTGGATTGAGAATTGAAGATATATGATAATTAGTAAAGAGAGACATGAAGGTTGGGCTACACAGTAGCCTAATTTAACCTCCGGTAACACAGGCAGCCGCAGTCGTTCGGAAGCTTGCAGTTACCAACGATCACGCTGAGCGCGGGGTCGCCCTGGTGCAAGAATACAACAGGCTTCTCACAAAGGACGAGGAGCAGCTGCAGTTCCTGCTGCAAGCGATTGTGGATCACCGCAAGCAGTACCCAGATTCCCGAAAATCCACCGTAGCCCGAACCGGGCGACAATGAGTGCCTGGCCAGCATGAAACCCCCGCCTTGAGCAGCTAATACTCTGGAGAAGAGGGGGACCTGGATGGTTGCCATGGATAGAACTTTGGTGCCCTTGAGCGACCTCTCAATATTAACCAATCTCGCAAAATTTCTCCACATTAATAAGTCTCCTTCCATAAAGGAATCATAGTGGAGTGTAGGAGCGTGGAAAACTATAATTTAATTTTTTGATCCCACATTGTTTAGGACCACCCTAATGTTCAGACTCGTTTCATTGTTCACTATTGGGACCCAATGACCTTGAGCCATAGGGGTGAAACTTTGACACCATTGAGCGACCTCTAAATATTAACCAATCTGAAAAATATTTTTAGGATATTATTTAGGCATCTAAATGAACTGATTTTTGAGGTAGGAACTTGTTCACAAAAAAAAAAGTTTTTTGAGGACCACCCTAATATGCATGCATAAATGCCACATTTTCAGTTTTAAAACTGGTTGCATTATATACATAAATGGCTGACCATTATAGTATGGTATTTGTCATATATGTAGCTGCTAGACCTGTTATTAATGGTTTATGGCTATGTGGTATTATTGCTTGTGATTGTGAAGAAATGAAAGACAGTTGAGCACGAAGCTTGAATTATCAATTGTAAAAATATTTGGTTTAATAAAAATGAATGAATCTATCAATTTTAGAACATGATATGGTGTAGTTTTGATCAGGATGTTGATATCCAGTCAATACCTGCACAAATTTCAAACCTTGGTAGTTGAATTAACTTAAACCGGGGCTACTCTGGATGGGCGGGGTAACTCGGGACAGTCCTCTGACACGGCGTAAAACTGTTTTAGTAGCAAAACTAATTGGAATATTGCAAAACTAAATATAGTGGCATAAATGTCAACATTTTTCCTATCTAGGTAGTGTAAAGGAAGTTCAAAAATACTACATTTACTAGCTTTGAAAAATTTCTGAAAAAATTGTGAAAAATGATATTTTGAAAAGTTACTTCTGCTAAGGTCTGTAGTAAAAAAAATATTCGCTGTATTAAAAAATTTTACTTTCATAAAAGTTGCACCCAGGTGTTGGCTTGAAAACGTAATTGATAGATTTTGCCTGTCTCATTCCAAAAAAAATGGCAGTCATTTCCGCACGGCGGGGCTATTCGGGACACCCCCAAAAATGCATTTACAGTAGAACCTCAGGTAGCAAAGGCTCCAGTTAAGAAAAAAATTGATTAAGAACAAAGAATATTGATTACATTTACCTCGCTCAGTGAAAAAAATTCACTTATCAAAAAATTAGTGCATCATCAGTCATCACAAAATTGTGCATAGAATGTCATATACGTATAGAATTGTGCACCAGGCATCATAGAATGAGAAGTGATTGACCTAAACTATGATTTATATCTCCAAAACATATGATGGTTGTCACTAAAACATAACTTTCTGTTTCAGGTATGTTTTTCACAATCTTTTTTTATAGTAAATTCACTTAACCCAATTAAAATGGTGTGAAATTACAAGCTGTCCTGTAAGCTTACAGATACAGAAAAAATGCTATTAGGCTGCTGATATGGAGCTTGCAGTGAACAAGGTTGTTGTAAATGCTCAATGGCATGTTCATGGATACGGTAATATTGCATCAATAATACTGTAATTAATGTAGGTATATGGTAATATCATATCAATAAAGGAAAAACAAGTAAAAATCACAGAAAATGTCATTTATTTTACCTCTACATCATCTACAATGAAAGAGGAGGACTTCAGAGTACAGTTAGTAATGGATGAGTACACTCTGCATGCTTCAAATGTTTTAAAATCAATTTTTATTCCAAGTGTCCCAAGTAGCCCCATTCAACGGGGCTACTCGGGGCACTTTTTTTTTTGCTTCTGGCACCTTACGAATAGCATATGGAATTTTTTTTTTTTTTTTGAGAAGCCATGTGATAGCCCTTGCAAAGAGCTTTGAAATGAGCATAAACTTGTTTATGAAATGTTTCATGGTAAGAAGTTATGAATGAAAAACATTAAAAATCATCCCGAGTAGCCCCGGTTGACGGTATAGCAATGTACTCAAGTTTATTTGTCACCAGTAAAATGAATTGAATAATTTTATAATCTATGTTTATTTTTTGAAAAATTTTCAACTTTATTACTGGATAAATAGAAATTAAATTTTAGTGTACAAAATTTAAGAAATTTACTTGGGTTAAACTTTTGCCATCTGAGTCTCGCAGTAGGTTGCACTATTATCTAGCACTTTTATTTCTTATTTATTAGCACAAATAAAAAGAAGCTAGTGCCACTTGCTGCAAGTGCCACTTTATTTGTCTAATATTAATTCAAAGTTAAATCCAAACAATCAGTGATAAACTATAAACCACTGTGAGTGACCAATCAACAAAGTCACTCAGATCAGAATTTATATTTAATAGTCAAACAACTTGTTCATCTCATGCCTTGAAAGTCCTCGCCAATTCAATCAAAATACTGAAGAGTGAAGAAGCATTCAATTTCTTATGACTTATCACCATAATTTTATGGTCTTCCCAAATCTTTTTTCCTAACTTTCTCTCTGCATATTTTTCAGATGCTTGCTGCTAATTAATACATATTAACAGCTGAATTATCCTTTGTTTGGGATGAAAATAGCTGAAAGTTCATTTAGAGTTGGCTACATATGCATCTCTACACTGAATAGTGAGTACTGGTGAACTTAATGTTCCTCTTTATTAATTTTGTTCCTCAATTGAATCAGATTTGTGCAATGTTATTTTGTATTAATTGTGAGTGAAAACTTGCATGCTTTCTTTATTGGACATGAACAGTAAAAATTACATTGAGTGCAGCACATGCATTATAAGTAGTGATTTATATAATTTATTGAATTATTTCAAGGACCAATTGATGCATGATATAACTCCAGTTGAAGTCAAAGTATTTTACTCAACTGGAGTTCTAATGTCAACCATCAAGTCTGATGTAACCTGACCTCTGAATTATGTATCAAGCTATGCCAATAAATTAAACTGTTTTTAACTTTAATAATACTTTGTCATTTATTAGTCTTTGGTATGTGCAGGACCTAGGGAGCTTCAAGGGCTCATTGACATGGCAAAAAAAAGGAAGAATCAGCAGCCACCATTTGAGAGAAATGTGAAGTTCAGGTTAGAGTTTGGGATGCGTAGAGTACAAAAAAGTTCACTGTTGATTTTGCAAGTGTGTAGCTTAGATCTTTGCTATTCCTTCTAATGGGTTAGTTTCTGGCTAATTATTATCTGGCCATTGAACTTTTGTAGGTGACCAATTTTAATTTTCAGAATGTTTTGTGATGGATTCAATTTTGTTTGTTACTGATTTTACATGAAATTTTTGTACCCAACTTTCACCAAGATCATTGTAAAATCTTGTAGAATTAACGCTTTTTTCTGTAACCCACTACACGTTTGCATGATCTAATTAATTGTTTATGCCAATGTTCTGTGATGGAGGTCTATGTATCTAATTTATGTGAAAATTTTGCGGTTATGTCTGCACAGTATATATTGATGTAGTTACTAGTTGCTTGCCATTGAAAATTGGTACTTTGAAACTGAAAAATAGTTGAATTGTGATACATCTGTAATTTATTTTGTATAATTCAGATTATGGAATTTCAATATTCTATGATTACTTTCTTGATATTGATTTTTCCTATTGGTAATGCTTATGACTCTTACTTTTTGTTTTTCCAGTAAACTGAATCAGACAACAGAGATTCCCAAACAGGTAATTGTTCAGCCTTTTTTATTTCAGGGCTATAGTGAACAATTGCTGATTTTTAATTGATGTTTGTTATTAGTGTGGCATATTCTTTTTTATTTCAAAGATTGTATTGCATACCTGCTCTTTTTTGGTGGTATCAACAAGAAAAGACTTTGTTGCATTCAGAATTATTGAATATAAGGCAGTGGCCTTCCACAAGGCGTCCCAGTACCACCAAATTGACTAAAGGTTTTGTTTTGCTTATCTGCAACTGCAAAGCTTCAACATAAGGCTTTGAAGTGATCATGATGTAGATTTGCTGAAAATTATATTTGCATAAATTAGCCACCCTAGCATTAACATTACTTTTTTCTGCTTCATGATTACATTACCTTGCATTGGTTGCATAATATCCATAACTGCCATACTCCTTGAAGTTTATGCATTGCCTTGACTATTGAACTAATTGCTGTTTACAAGTCAAATTGTTCTCCATTTGTGATAGAGCTAAGCAAAACTAGGCTCTAGTTTGCTCCTCATAAGCCTGTATGGTCATTCCACCTTGATTCCATGCCAAACTTTTTTAATATGGGGCATTACTTCAAGCTGGAATCCTCTTGGTTGCTTACTATATTGATTATCATTGCATAGGTACTCAATTTTGTTCAAGTCAAGATAATTGAGTAAATGACTCCAATTAGAATTTCATTAAGAAGTTTCTTTTAGTTTTGAGCTACACAGGTAATCTGCAGCACTAGATGTAAAACTACCTATATTCTTAAATGTTATAACTTCTATTCATTCCATGTTTTGACATATGGAAGAGTTATTTTATAATGATATATAGGTAGTTGCTGTCCATGTCGAATTTTACAGTTTAAATCCAGCCACCGTTTGCCAATGCTCTATGATTTACAACTAAAAATGAAAATTTTAGTGCAAGGTAATTCCCTCATCATCTTGGTGTTGTGGAAATATGCCAAAAAAGCCTCTAAATATTCACCGTTTCTGGCTTTTGACAAAGCCACAAACATACACAAAAATATGTTTGGTGGTATACCCAACACAATTCAGACCTGGAATCATGCCACTTATTTTTGCTAGTAGAGTTAATATGTTAATGGTAATGAGTAAATTTATTGCTTAATTGTATTGTGTGTGTGCTGCTGAGAAGATTTACAACTGTCCAGCAAAGCGTGGAGCATTCAATATCTTAAAAGCTAGTCAAGTAGTCATTGAACTACAGCAGTGCTGGTTGTACAGACAACCAAAACATGGTTACAACAATTTATTTTCCACACAATCAGAGAAGGTATAATTTTAGTTCAGTTATCAGGACTAATGAATTTATCTCAACCGAATTCTTGGGCTGCCAAAATTTTCTTTGGATTGCAAGAAGAAACTTTTTCATGAGCTTGTGTAGAATGTGATGAACTTTGAGCAGTGGTTTCATTGGGATGACCTGAGGGCAGCAACTGTTATCCTGGGCTGAAAGAAGTTCACTGCTGCTGAGGTTTAACTCTCAATGAATATGACCTGATTTCATTTTTGTGCATCAGCTTCAGAAGTATTGGTAAAACATTTTAAATTTATATATATATATATACTTCAGTTCCTTCATGTCTTTGGTTTTTTAAATATTTTTCTTGCTGTTTAGCATCATTTAAAATTTTAATATCTGCATTTGCTTGACGTTTGTCTGATTGTTTCATGCTTGCTTGCCCAAATGTCCACAGATTTCAATCCATTATCTTAATATTTATTAATATGCTAGTTGTTCTCAGTAAATGTAGTCTTTTTTTGTTCTGATTTGTTTATCTTCACTGTTGGGGGAGTTCATTGTTGTGATGGTCCTGCCCTGTTTCTTGAGAATTGAATCTACAGGCCAGTGCTTGGGATTTGCTGTCACTTGATATGCATTTGACTGTGTTATTCACGGTGCATGTATTTGTTTAGTACAAATTTCATTATTTGCAATAGATATGTTAGCAATCCAATGTGAAATTTGGTACCCACACTGTTAGAAAAATTACCGTCAACGGTATTACTGGCGTTTCAGTGGCCGGTGGGCACGTGAAAAGAAACACCGTGTTGCCATTTTTATTCTACTTTAATACTGGAAATCTGTAAACATCTGATAAAATTGGCGAAACGGTTTATTTTCACGGGGCGACCGGCCACTAGAATGCCAGTGGGACCGTTTTTTGTAACAGTGCACTAAATTGATAGACCAGTCAATGATCCATTTTTAACAGACGAACAATTCCAGTAATAAATTCCAGTTTAATAATTGAATAAATGCTACTTGACTGTTTTTATTTTGATTATATCATTTTGGAGGGTTGAAATTTGAAAATTTAATTTTGATATTCAGTGTGCCAAGGTCTCGTCTTTCATCAAATCTGTTCACAACAGTTAGAAACATAAGATACTGTTCTGTGTTGAGCATGGTATGGAATAAAAATTTCATAAGAAAAAGAAGCCCTGTTCAAACCATGAGTATATGCCTGAGAGGGCTTTTGATGACCATGGATCTTGATGGGAATGTTTTTCAATGTTTCATATTAGGTGAATTGACAGGCAGTTGATTTATGTAGTTTTCATAGTGCTTCTAATTTTAAAATGTGCATATAGTTCAGATATTTCAGATTGTCTATATGTTAATTTGCTTTCATTACATATTTTTACAATTCCAATTTCTTTTACTTCTATCATAGCCTGAGACGCCAATGGAGAGTGGCTACAACTCGAGCTGTAACGACGACTCAGCAGCTCCCTCGAGTCACACTGGAGTAGGGCTTACTGGGGACACAACAGATCCCTTGAGCCGCACTGGAGTGGGGCTTACTGGGGACACAACAGATCCCTTGAGCCGCACTGGAGTAGGACTTACTGAAGACACACCAGCTGCCTTGAGTCACACTAGAGTAGGGCTTACTGAAGACATACCAGCTCCCTTGAGCCGCACCGGAGTAGGACTTACTGAAGACACACCAGCTCCCTTGAGCCGCACTGGAGTAGGACTTACTGAAGACACACCAGCTCCCTTGAGCCGCACTGGTCTTGAGCTTGCGACCATCGATGGCCCTGCTGCTGCTGCTGCTGCTGCTGCTACTGCTACTGCCGCCGAGGAGCTTCTTGGAGATGCTGGGACGGTTCATGGAGATACTATGTCTAGGAGCAATTCAGAATTATCTGCTGAAGATGCTTCAGTGTGAGTTATTTATGAATGTTTTTATCAAGATGTATTCTGAAATTCCATTTTAATATTCACACAATACGTAAGTATACAGATTATGGTCATGTGAGAAACTTGAATAAATTGATGCACTTTGCTGAACTGAAGTAGTTTTTTAAATTGTTTCAGTAAAAATGTCATTTGAACATATTATTTAGAAACGTCAATAGTGAATATTGCTAATGTTGTTCTGGTTGATTGAATATCCCACTTTGTGCTCCTTATTTCTGGGTGCTCATTGATTTATTCATTCATTTCAATGTAATATTTTTCTAAATGATAACTAACATGATGATGTGTATTCTGCAGGCATCAATTCTATTTGAAGCATTGCTCTTGGTGGAGAAGAGGATCTACTTTACCCAGCTCTGCTTGTCAGTTTTGATGTTTATGTATCTTATCACAACAACATTAATTTGCTCTAAAATGTGCATCTTTTGTGCAGAGTTTATGAACCATACGTTGAAAGAATGTTTGACTCGGTTCAAAACCGCCAGCTTCCCGAACAACTGCCTCCTGACAGCCCTCTACTGGATCTAGAGATCATCTCTGTTATTGGAGATGTGACCGACAACTTCCTCTCGCCCATCAACCCTGAGGAGGAACACGACATTTGAGCGTATCTGCAAAATGTTTAAATTAGCTAATTTTAGTTCCGTAAGAGAGCATACTAATGATTTCAGCACTATGCATTACTCATCATACCAGATTTTTATATAAGTTAAATTTTGTTTTGAAGCTTGTTTGATCCTTGCACATTTTATTTCAACTCAGCCTTTTTATAGAAAACTGCTAGATTTTATCCATTATAGTTGGAATTGGTTGGTTCTTTGAAATTTTTAACTTTTGCATTCACAAACGTGCAGCAATTTTGAAAAAAAAGTTGCTGGTTGAGCGATCGTATTTTCCTACTGTAACGTTACAATTATAGCCAGCATGATCAAACAAGCTTTTAATGTGCAATAACCGTAAGGTTCAACCAAGAAGTAACAGCAAATGAACATTTAAGTTATCTAACTATTTGAACTATCATATTCATGTAAAAAATTATTTACAATCACTTCAATTACGAATCTGCAATTTAGATCGTTTGCAATTTTTGTCAATTCAGACAAAATGCACGTTATATCAAATGTCAAAATATGGCAAATCACTTGAGTTTTAACCTGCATGGTTTACGTGGAAACTTTGATGAACTGAATGTGTCATTACGTTGTCTTCTTTTAGGTTTTTTTCATTGCATGTTAACCAGTCAATACATTGCATTCACACAAGGGCATTGTGTCTAATACTTAAACAGGCTTCCAGGAACCCGAATTCACTAGCCCAAGAAACGTACTGCGATGACAACGCTGCGTGGGCTCAAAATACGAGGTACATGTGAGTCGACGCACACTTCGAGCGTTGTCGCCACCGTCACCAAGGAAAACCATGGAAAAATCGTCTGCCATGTGAGGTCCCCCACATTTGCTGAATCATCAAAAGTTTTGAAGGACTTTGGTGTTGACGCCGTGTGTCGGGTTGAAGAGTTATTTGTATAGAGCGTCGGGTGTTGGAGGATTTTTATCCTTGAACACTTCAGAGAGTTTGCGGCCCTACTGATTTTATCCCGACGCTCAAAGAGAACGGCTCCGCTGAAATACCGCAACATTTCTAGCGGAGGATAGAGTTCAGTATGACTAAGCATCCCCAAGGGTGGAGCAAAAAATAACTTTCCTAAATCTGCTCTCTGACTCTAATTTATTGTGTGGACGCTTGCAAAAAGAATTCCCTTCAAAGGATCTTCCTATCAAACAATTACTGGAGTTACAACAAAGCTGATGCTTGGAAAAATGTGTCATCTTCAGTATAATTTTTATTCCAATGTTTAGTTTTTTTTAATAGTGTATTGAATTTATTATTGAAATGATCAATTGACAAAATTATTATTGAGCTGATGCTACCTGAATATGTACCTATTAAATATTCCATCATAAAATATTAAGCCTTATGTGAACTAATTCGATTGCTGCTGAGAAGGCCTTCCAGCTTTATAAAATGGGACATTGAAGTCAAAATAGCATTTAAAACCAAATTTTAACATATTTTCAACGGCTTTGCAGCAACTCAAGCGATTGTTTTGATGGGAAATTCTTAGAAAGGGGATCATCTGGTAGGTGTCCTCGAAAAAAAATCTGAACAGATTAGCGAATTTCGGCAAGTGCTTTTTTGCTCCACCCTAGTATGCAGTGGATTTGCTTGTGATGCTTTTGTCCTGAAGTCTGTCGCCAATGTGCCTCCTTCAAACATAGCGCCCTAACCTGCAGCTGACTGGTTTTAGACAAAACAGATGATTCATCTCGCAAAAGAATTGCTGATTCCGAATAAACAGCTCCATTCTGAGCGCTTGGCACCACGCACGCAATCCTCAAATAAATTCAGCTTCTCGCTCGTAAGTTCGCAGAAAAGAGAAGCTGAAGGCCCGTTCTTAATTTAATCGGATGCATGGAGGTTTCCATGGTGCACTAGAGTAGGGATGGTACATCCTACTCAGGCTCTCAGACCTCACTCGTGTGGACATTTTTCCATGGTTTTCCTTGGTGACTCAGGCGACAATTCCCGACGTGTTCGTCGCCTCACACCGACCTCGTATGTTGCGCCCACGCAGCGTTGTCATCGTAGTACCTTTCTTGGGCTAGTGAATTCAGGTTCCTGGAAGCCTGTTAAAGTACACGAGGCCCTTGTGTGGATGTAATGTATTGACTTGTAAATATGCGATGAAAAAAAACATGGAAGAAGACACGACATAATCATACTTTCAGTTGATCAACGTTTCCACGTTATTCATGCACTTCTCCGTGAGACCAGCGTCGCTCAAACGTTTGTTTCTTTTTCTTTCCAGTTAAGCTTATAATTTTATGTATCACCGAAACTAGTTAAGTTTGTTCCTGTTGTAAATTGATTTTCTTAATGTGACTTCCAACTTCGAAGGTGCACAGCTTGGCATGTAAATTGAAAAAAAAATCACGCCAGTTTTTTCGTTGCTTTGATATGTTATAAATCACTTCATATTAGGGTGACGCGAAATAAAAACGTTCAAAAATTCGTTATCCACATACAATTTTTTCATGTGCAGCCCTGCCTACTTGAATCTTTCCTTTCATAAACCACCTGCAAAACATTTGCTAATGAAACCTTTAAACTTTTTAGACTCGGAAAAGTTCCAAAATGAAAGGTTCCGCGAAATTTTAACTTGGAGTCTTTTTTAGCAAAAGTTAAGCTGGATTAGCGAATTGATACGTCCGTTCGGGTATTCTGCTAACAAAATAGTGCAGCCTCATACACAAGCGTATGATAACTATGCGCCATCTATAGTCGTCCTCTTGTAGACTACGGTTGACGGGAGCATGTTGTGTGTACTTGTTTTTTTTTTTTTTTTGTGGGTTGCTGTAAGTTGCTTTATTTCCATGCTTTAGTGTTTTTGAATGTTTTAAGCACATTTATTCCACTTGTATTTTGTTTGTATTGATAAATATGTTGTTTTCGATATTAATTATATGGATATCAAATTATGTGAGCAAGACACGATACGGCTAGTTCTATCACGTCTACGAAGAGAATAGGTTAGGATGTTGAGAGCGAGTTCGGTGAACCATTATTGCAAGATTGTTGCCAACAGACCGATATACTTTTAAACATGCTCTATGAACAAGATTTGGAATAGAGTCGCTGTAGAAAAGATTCGTCATGTAACTCAAACATTACCTTAGATGTCGTGTGTGCTTGGTAATTGTCTTAATACCTTAAAGTTTAAACTGGTTCCAGAAAATTAGTCAACATGTGCGTAAACAATCAGATATTGATAAGAAACGGTTAGCGTAAAAATTTGAACTGAACCTTTGAACTGCGATGCAACGATTTCAAGTAAAATAAACTAACCCTTAGATACTTCATGCTTCAATTACGACAGCTGTATGGAGTGTTTCTTCAAAAGAGAAATGAGAGTACATCCAATTTGAGCTAGCCTGTCTTGAGTACTGTCAGTCATTAAAATGTTTTAGTAAAACTCCACTCTCCAGTCGTGAACGAACATTCGATGCCCTTTTTGGATAAATTACCTAGAACAGTAAAGCTAAAACTTTCCACCTCCCGACATAAGGAAATAGTCAATCGAATTGTCCCGCCTATTATTTTTAAACAAGACTTGAACTTTTTTTATTACCATGCACGTGTGATTTTCGTCTATTGTAAAGTTATTCAGATGTTTTCTAATTTGAATAAGAGCAAGATAGCGTAAAGTAATGACGAAAGTAATTCTCAGGAAGTGTGAAATTTCATGGAATAATAGAGAATGAAACGGTCTGTTGATATTTGCAATAGTAGATATTCCAAGCAGTTGCTGGATTTTCGCTTATCCATTAATGAAGTAGCCTTTTCGATAATTACTGTATTTAGGGGTCTATCGTTGGTAATACCTATGCAGAAGATCAATATTTCTTATTCGGGTCTGGGAAACTGTTAGAATCTTGGTTATTTATTATTTGCTCTGGTTATTGTAGGATGAGGCATTTGTGATACTAAGCATTTACTGGGACGCTTGCTGGTATACCTATAACAGTAATCTGGGAATCGTTACTTACTCTGAATAACGTTCGCTTCCTAGGATGTATTTGTAGAGGAAAAAGGTTGCGATAATTTCTTTTGGAACGTTATTCCTAGATTTTAAACATTGTTTTAGTGTATGATGCTTGAATTAACGTAGCCGTTTCGTTAATTAATATGCTTTCCAATAATACCGTGGTTATCGGATGGTACGGCAATAGTGTAGCTAATTTTTATTATCCTGTAATATAATTAAAAGCTATTTCTTTGCCGTTAATGCTCATGAGTCTTTAACTGTAGAGTTTTTTTTACCCTCGTAAACTGATCTGCTGGTAGGCCGACTTGTCCCGACTACTAATTCAATCTTCCAGTTCAGCTTTCTTGTTACGTCAATGAGATCCAGAAACCTAAACAAACCCGTCATTCCCATGACTGATTGGTTGAATGGTTCGATCGCATTTCGGTGGTAGGTTAATGCCCGTGACGACACTGAGATCAATGACGTCACAGGCGAACAGCTAACTACAACCGCAAAAATGAGCTTCTCATGGGTCAACCTTATACTAGTTCAACCATGTATAAAACAACTTGAACGGGCATAGTAAAGAAGCAGTGAAGCTGCGTTAGGTGGCAAAGCTCATGTATAATAATGAGAAATGCTTCTTTATAATACTACTCAAGCATAATATGTAATTAAGAATTGGGTAGAAAATTAACAGTGCCCAGCTTACTAGTCGAATGTGATATGATTAGTAGCGTCTATGTTCAAGATTAAGAATTAATAAAGTAGAAAAAAATTAGAATTAGATCTAAAAGTGAGCATTTTATTTATGTCTGAAGGTAAACGTCACCATCTTAAACACGACCCTAGTTCACATCATTCAAACTTATACCTAGTATTTTGGTTCATGGCACCAGAACCTCTTATTAGAGTAAGTACTCGAGTGTAGAAACTGTCCTTTATTATTCGCTTTTGTTCGATTGCTGAAATAGTTGGAATGTTTACAATTGTTCACTTTGCATTCAGATTTCCTTGCATTGACCAGGAGCCGTATAACTCGCAAACGAAGGCAAAATCAAAAAAATTGTCACGAGCTAAACATCACCTTTGGGAGGTTATGTATTCATATACAAAGTTTCGTTCCAAGCTGTTGCGTATTTTAGAAACAGTTGCATATAAAAGTTGTCACGAGCTAAACATCGCCCTTGGAAGGTTAGGTTTGTATATTCAAAGTTTCTTTCAAATCTGTTCAGTAGTTTAGAAGAAATGTCATGCTCACTGCAAATATCGGCACGTATCATCATATAACTCACGAATACTGGCGAAATGTAAAAAATTTTCACAAGCCAAACATCACCGTTAGGTCCTAATGAAGGGACGACTGAAATAACCCAGCATTGCCCAATACCAGCATAATTTTCATACTTCACCCCGTGCGTAAGCATGCTGCAGAGCAAATTAGCCAACATGATTACTTGATGAAAGCCACAGGGACTAAATCCCTTCATGGATGCAAACCAGCGAGCCAATGAGCTGCAAGCCGCCAAAACAATGGTCGTAACCCACACGCTGAACCCCCAAAAATTTCTATTCCATGCAGCCTAGCCCCTTCCCCACTTTCGATAAAGAACGCCCTGCGCCACAGTGCTAACAGTACACTGCTACCTCTCCAGCCTGTCCGTTCTTCTGGAGGCTAAACCTCCACGCTTACCCCCTGCTCCCCCTCCTTTCGGTACCAGCTTGCGGAAGAATTCTTACCTAACCTAACCAAACCTAACCCTTTCGCGGAAAGGTGGAGAGAAGGGGGTAAGTGTGGAGGAAGGAGATGCTGTAGAGCGTCAGGGCTGGGTACGCCTGCGAAGTGGGTAAGGTGATGCGACAGTCAGGTGCGGGGCCGTTCCCATTTACGGCAGTCTGGTGCGGTCTGCGGGCCCTGTGGCTTACGGCATTTGTAAGAAGTGATGGTATGGGCTTAAATCATTGATGTAGGAGCTATTGGGCGTAATCCGTTTGGAGTATCAGCTTGTGGGCTGAGGCATTGCTTGTTTCAAGCTGGTGTGGTGAGATGAGTCATGAGGCAAGTAAGAACAGCTGCATATGTGTTAGGCTGACTATTTCTATTGCATGAAGAGGGTTGTCATTGGCTCTTGGGCTGATTTAAGAGTCAAATTTTTGGGCTACGGCAGCGCTCCCCTAATGAATACGTGTACCAAGTTTCATCGAGCTACGTTCATTACTTTGGGAGGTATTCCTTGCTCACTGAATTTGGGGTGACCGGCCGCGAGTCCGGCCGTAAATTTGTCACGTCTTGGACAAATTTACGGCCGGACCCGCGGCCGCAGGACAATTTGTCCGAGACTTGTATATTGATATCCGTGATATCAATGTCTGACACTTGACATCATTTTCGAAAAAATGCTCTGCTCATGAATCCTTCGATTCTGAACTGATCTGATTGAAATTTAAAGTACGAGTTATTAGTAGTAATTTGCTGTTGAAGAAACTTATTCTTCTTTGCTTGTGGACTTCCGGCAAGAACGTTTGCGATATTCAATTCGCGAGACGACGTTGCGGCATGCCGCGACGGCTCGTGAGGCCGAGGGCGGGGCGTAAGTGTAACGCACAAGCAGTGTTGCCAGATGGGCCTTTTTCAGGCCAAATTTCGCAAATGTGGCCTTTTTTGAAATGCATTGGCCTGAAAAAAAATTCATTTGGCCATTTTGTCCGTTTGGAGACTTTTTTATGAAAAACGTAATTCTCATGTTTTTTTATTGTGATAATTTGGTCCTTTAATTTTATCCAAGACGAGTACATCCAAATTTAGTTTTGCCCAAGACGAGTACACTCAAATTTTAACACGTAACTGTGTCAACTACTCGGTTTAGGCGAGTGGCAATACTGGCGAGTGCCGCCTAATCCGGGCAACACTTTGGTTGAACTTGAACCAAGGCCATGGGACTTTATTCAGTTGCCGACTCGTATTTAAAAGCCATGGATGGCAGAGTTGAGAGCGCGGATAATCAAGTATACCTAGTTTTCACTTCTAAAGAGTTGTAAATTCAGCATTAATTTTTGAGCTTACAGCGCTGTTTCTCCATACATTCAGACTTCTGGTGTGAGTCACTACCAAATTTCACTTAGAATAAATATAATTACTCTTCTCCGAATTATGATGGGCAATATTTTTTTCTACGCATTCAAAAGTTGTGATAAATTTATAGGATTGACTACTAATATATATCTTAGTCTTGCAAGGACCACATCATCTTTATACCGCAGATATGAGTATACATTTATTTTCATTTCCGCGTATAAATATTCTACCATCAATACCAAAAAACTTCGCCACATCACTAATGTCGCCGGCCACTTCACTATCTATTTTGTTAGCAAACTGAGCCAAAACTTTCTAACGCGATTGAAAAGCTTTATAGATCGTAAGGTGGCAATCGAATTCTAAATATCCTAGTTCTCACCAGTATTATACGGTTTTATTTACGGACAGCGAGTAACGTGCAATTCACTGCAGGCTGGAACCTGGCGGCTTGTGTAGCATTTGCGGTAATTCAGCTCGTACACTTGACTTGGTGAAATAGCTATATTTTTTTTTTTTGCTGTCTGAAAGCCTTGAGAGTAAATGCATGCGCTGCAAATGATTAGAACTACCTTAAATTTAAGAATTTCTTAATCATTTCAAAAGGGGCCTTTTGTGGCCATTTTTGTGAGCTAAGTTTGCCTTTTTCACTCTGCTCCATCTGGCAACCCTGGCCCCTGCTCGCAGTGCTCAGTGCTCACCAAGAGTCTGGGAGGTGGAGTTGTGAGAAACGTACTCTAGCCGCACACCTACGAAGCTGCTGAACACCAAATTTGCATTTTTAATTTTTGCATTAAAAATTTACCCAGAAACTTCGACTTTTAAATGAAATTTGCATAAAAGGCCTAATTGCAGGAATTAATTCTCATCTTCTTCTTTTCAATACAAAGTAAGTATTGTACGAACTTAGACGTTTAGCCTAACGTATTTGCGCACGTTTTTTGACTATAGATAGTTATGGTTTTGTCCCTGAAAATGAGTCACGAGGCCGCTTTGGCTCGCTGAATGATGGAAGTAGGTTACGTGTTGTTTCTAAAATGTAGGTAGTTCGTAGTTGTATGTCAAGTGTCAACTTGAGTTCTCTGTTCTCACACTGTCAGGGCCCAGCCTGCAGGATGGAATTCTAAGATTAGTGGTTCACTTTAAAAAAAGCGTTTTGCAAAAAAAAAAAATGTTCCAGGCAAGTTGAGGCAACTAGAAAGAGGTTTGCAGGCCGTCAGAAATCAGCTTCGGCTTGAATGTTAAGGGGAGCGCAGCCGTGGGTAACAAAATTGACTCGTAAACAGGCCCTGGGCCTAACGCCAACCATCAGCATGCAATATCTACACATAGCCTTGTAGCAAACCTAGAAATTACAACTTTTAAATAAATATATCCTTTTTCCTCTGACTTGGCAACACCGTTAGGAAGTTTACTTCGCGTTTTAGTTTGTCCCATAGTCAGTATAGCCCAGCTGATCCACAACAGCAGGCATAGTGGCAAACCAGAGATTTTTTAGAATCAGTTCATTTTTAATTTCCTCACCTACTCAGGCTACTCAATATTTTAATAAATTTCTTAAGTATGAAAATGCTGGTATCCAAGATACTTTCCTGGTCTACTTATAGGACTCAAAAATGAACTTGATGAAGAGTCTAAAAAAATTGCTGCTTTGCCACTGTGACAGCAGGTTAGTTAAGATTTAGTTCTCTAAGATAAGTTTCTTTGTTTATATGCCTAACTGGTTATATTGTACTATTATTTGCCTCATCATGGTTACTTATAAGACATACTTCTCGAACAGGTTCCCACGTTGCCAAGGGTATTATTTCTATTATTTCTATTTTTACTGTTATCATTTCTATATTCCTTGCCGTATCAAATAAATTCACTTGATCCAGTTCTATTCATTTTTGATCTTGTAATTTCCTCACGGTGCGGGTAACGTACGGCAGTTACCCCACAATTGGTGACCCCAGACTAAGTTAATTTTCAACACAGTAAATTTGCTCCTTACCCTCAGGGTAAACCAACTTTAAAATTAGTACGTCCATCTCACTTTTCGTATACCCTTGGCAACCTAAGCTTTCATCGCGCTAGCAGCAGTGACGGTGGTCGAGGTGATCACTACTTGACGACATGGAGGTCAAAGAGCAGAAATTTACCGAAGAGCAGAAATTTACCGAAGAGCACGTTTCTGCCGCCGCGGAGGTGCAAGTTCCGGAGTGGATGGATGGCACAGCGGCCATTTATTTCAAGATCCTCGAAGCTCAATTCACCATCAAATGTATAACAAGCTCCAATACTAAATTCTGCACCGCTCTGACAAAGTTACCTCCAACACTTCTCGCTCCACTACCTGCTGCCGTAATTGACTCAAATGATTATGAAGAATTAAAAGCTGCTGTTTTATGTCAATATGAAGCAACCAAACTGGAAATTTTCGAAAAACTTATCCGAACCACTACTTTTGGCGGCCAATCATCCATCTACCTTCAGGAAATTCAGTCTCTCGCTGATCAAGTCGGAGTGGGAGAGGAGCTAGTTCGGCATAAATTTGCCCAATCCCTTCCACCCAATATTGCTCCTATCATTGCTTCTCAAAAACAAACGCCACTGAGAGAGCTGGGTATGTTGGCGGACCAACTGATGCCTTTCTCTAGCCAACATGTGCTGACTCCAGTTAATGCAGTACCACCGGCTCGAAGTAACTGTTCCCATCCTCTGTCACCAATTAACGCACCACGACGCCAACAAGAGAACTCGCAACAACCCCTGGGTTTACAACCTTTCTCTCCTTGACAGCGCCCGAAAGTTTGTCGCGCCCCCTTGTATTTCCCGGAAGCGGCTCAAACTTGCAAGCCTTGGTGCAGGTGGCCGAACAAAGCTAGCTGCCGCATCCTCGCCAACTCTTGCCCTTCTTCACCTCGTCAATCGCCTTCACGTCAATCTTCCCGTAGTTCCTCACCGTCGGGAAACTAGTTGCTCGGGTCGACCTCCCTTCCGGAGTCGACCCACCACTATTTGGAACTACTGCAACTTTCGGCTCAACGAAATTGGTTTTCCTGGTGGACAGCGGAGCAGCGATCTCCATAATCCCTTACCGACACGCTACTGGAATAACCCTCTGTCCCACTGCCGTTGTTGCCGTGAGGCTTCTGATCCCTTGTCACTCAACCCTCATGCCTTTTATTGCATAGTAATTTTTGTCACCTATTTATTTTTACATGCATTCACCTTTGTCTTTCTGTTCCATTTGTTTCAGCTGCATTAAGTGGTGACAATATGCTAAAGTAATTCCATTAAAGTAAATTCCATTATTATAAGTATCAATTCTCCAAGTGAATTCCTCATTTAACTTCAACAAGGAGTATGCTGCCAGAACTGACAGCCTTTCCTGGGTCACTCTGAAGCGTGAGTATTAGTAGGGATGTATGCAATATTCTTTGGTTAATGCGCTTTAAATCTGTCCCAGTAACTATTTAATTGCTAAATACCGTAAAATGGGGTAACTTAGACCACTTTTTTTATAAATGATGCCATTTTTTTACTAGCTAAATTAAACTTGAATTGAAACATGCAAAATACAGGTCTATACTCTAGCTTCACTCACCATTAATTGCTGACTCCTGCCTCTCATAGTCTTTATGCAATTTCAAAAAAAGTGATGGTCTTTGTTACCCCAGCTCTTGGGGTAACTTAGACCGGGTGGTAAAATCAATTATATTTTTTGTTAAAATGACTCCAAATAACTCCAGGTTTTGGTGCATTGTAGTAGAACTCTTCTAAGTTACATATGCAAATGACAAACTTGAGGAAAGTATCATAGTTTGCAAATGGGGGGCGCCGCCCCATAATGAGGGAAATGTGACTACCTAATGGCAGCCCTGATGGGGTAATATTGACTGGCTTGGAAATTAAGTTAAAATTACCANCATGATTGGCCGCTTTACGTCAGGCGTTTCTTTTAGTTTGTCCAGCCCTGTAATTAAATCCCATAGACATTTGTTAAAGGGCCTAAAAACTGCCCTTCTTTGGGAAGCTGTCACGAAATCATTTTTCGACGTAGAGGGATGATTCTGGCACCGTTGGATGCGTCAAAAAGTAAGCTTTAAGATGAGCCCAAAAAGTGGAAAACGCCAAAATTGAAAATTTTAGCCAGGTCGGTCCCCTTAAGCTGCATCTGTCCACTTGCTTGGCAACTGTTTTATCTAAACAACTTTCTTACAGTAATAGGTGTGAGTAGGCTGTTTGCTGACAAATGTTTTCATTTTTCCTTTCAGTTATTGTTCAGCAACTCCTTGCCTGCCCATGCTCCGTAACCCATATTTTAACTGAATTCTTCTGAATTCCTTTTTACTTCACATACCCTGCTTACCTCTTGCTCAGGGTATTTTGTTTCACACTGTCTTTACACTGGTTCTTGCAAGTGGTGGGCACTCTTGCCCTTGCTTTCTTCTTTATTGTTAGCATGAAATATTTTACCTCAGGGCCTTCTGCCCTGGTTTTGTAATAAAAGATTTGTAATGTTAAATCCCGTTTTAAATAATTACTTTAATTAGAGTTATTCTTTCATTCTCCAATTCATACTGGGTTGTTGCCAAAGAAATTCCAAAAGTAGGTGACGAGTTTGCCTCACCCGTGGCGGGAGACAGTACCCCGGCAACACCGTTTCGGTGACGTCTGCAACGGGACAACCTATTCAATGCCACGGAGAAGCTTCAATGGAATTAAAATTTTCTAAATTAAGAAGAACCCTACGGTGGACTTTCGTTTTCGCCAATATCTGTCACGCACTACTAGGCGCAGATTTCCTGGCTAACTTCGGATTTCTCGTCGACTGCAAGAACAGACTTCTACTGGATTCCTCAACACAGCGCTCGATACCCGCATTTCCAGTGACTACCGGATTAACTCATCTGGTAATAAACAATTACTCTCAGCTATCGAAGCCCTTTGCAAACCTGTTGGAAAAATACAAAACTTTAACTTTACCAGCGAATTCATCTCAGAACAAAATCCCTGCACCCAAAGTCCATCACTCCATAGAACTTACTACGGACAAGCCAGTATTTGCAAAAGTACGACATTTGTCAGAAGCAAAGTTGAAGATAGCTAAACAAGAATTCAAGACTCTACTCGACGCTGGCATTATTAGACCTTCCAAATCACCATTTTCTTCACCAATCCACATGGTTCCCAAAAGCAAACCTGGCGAGTGGAGAGTTTGTGGCGACTATCGCAATCTAAATGCAATTACAGTTGATCGATATCCTCTGCCTTTACTCCATTCTGTATCACCGAAGTTGCACAACAAGAAAATATTCTCAAAGATTGACCTACTCCGAGCATACCACTAAATCCCCATGAATCCTCAGGACATCGAGAAGACCGCCGTATGCACACCATTCGGACTATTTGAGTATTTATACATGCCATTTGGGACCAAAAACGCAGGCGCCACCTTCCAACAATTCATGGATAACATCTTCAGAGAAACAGAATGTGTTTTTGCCTACCTGGATGACATCCTAGTATTTTCCGAAACAGAAGAACAGCACTACAAGGATCTGGACAAAGTAATGGAAATTATGGCAACCAACAACCTCAAAATTTCTCTTCCCAAATGTGAGTTCGCCACCAGCACTATCGATTTCCTGGGTTATTCAATTTCAAACACCGGAATCAAACCAACAGCAGAGAAGTTGAAACAAATTCGGGATTTCCCACAACCAACAGACTCCAAAGCATTACGCAGGTTCCTGGGCATGATCGGTTTCTACCGTCGTGTGGTTTCACACTTCGCTTCTATCATCTTGCCATTAACGGAACTCCTCAAACAATTTCCAAACGAAAAATCACTGCAATTGGCAGAAGACGCTCAAAAAGCATTCGAAGAAATCAAGCGTA